AGAGAGGGCACCTATTTTTTTAATTATAGAGGGAAAAGCGAGAGACAAGGAAGGGACAGATGATAGATAAAGAAGAGTGCTATCCGTCTCCTTGTTTCTTGTGTCTTCTCTTCTTTTCAGTTCATCATATTCCTCTTTTCGGCCTGTCTCTTCTGCTCTTTTCCTTACCCTTCTCCTTTTCAAGTTCTTCCTTTTTCGTTTTTCTGTTTCGAAAAGAAAGAGGGAAGGGAGAGAGAAGGGAGAGAGGATAGATAAAGAAGAGTGCCATTTTCTTTGCGCCTTGTTTTGTCTCTCCATCTTCTTTGTTCGTCTCTCTTTTCTATTCTTTTCTTGGCTCTTCCCATTAGAATTGTCTTCCTTTTATCTCTCCTCTCTCCTTCTCTTTCCCTTCTCTTCTCCTGTTCCCCTTTAAATGACAAAAACACGAGAAAGGAAGAACAAGAGAGGAATGGAGGCCCTTTTCCTGAATTCTCCTGTTGCAATGAATAAGGAAAAGAGCATAGGAGATAAGGAAGGGAATTGTGGGCGATGGAACGGGTGTCCTTTTTGATAGTTTTCTGCATCTTCAAGGAAGAAAAAAGGACACCCGCCCAAGAAGGAAAAGTAACATAAGAGATAGGGAGGAAATTGAAAAGCTCCTCTCTTTACCTAGTCATTTCCTGTCCTCTCTTCTTATTTGTTGTTTTTCTTATTCGCTTCAAAAAGCAAAATAACAAAATAAGGGAAAGGCGATTTCCTGAAGAGGAAGAAGGGCGCCTACCTGTGAATAGCAAGGTTGATTTTTTCTAATTAGGGAGAGACTTGCCCCGCCTGAGCCTCCCTGGCCTGCTTGTTGTGGCCACATTCCGGTACAGTTGTGCTTCCAGAAAAATGGCATCCTTGTTATCTCCTCTCACTTCCCTTTCCCTTCTCTCCTTCTGTTTCCTTCTGACTGATAAACCACAAGACAGGAACTTGTATGATAAGGCAGTGGAAGGGTAAGCAGAGGGTGACTCCTGGCGCGTGGACCGGTCCATACTTCATCATACCCCTCCTCTCGGCCTATCTCTTCTGTTCTTTTCCTTACCCTTCTCCTTCTCATAGTTCTTCCTTTTTTGTTTTCTTATTTCGAAAAGAAAGATGGCAGGGAGAGATAAGGAAGAGAGGATAGATAAAGAGTGAGTGCCATCTTCTCTGCGCCTTGTTTTGTCTCTCCCTCTTCTCTATTCATCTCTCTTCTATTCTTTTCTTTGCTCTTCCCATTAACAATGCAATCCTTTTGTCTCTCCTCTCTCCTTCTCTCTCCCTTCTCTTCTCCTGTTCCCCTTTAAATGACAAAAACGCAAGAAAGGAAGAACAAGAGGGGAATGGAGGCCATGTTCCTTTCTTTTCCAATGGATGGGGAAAGTGAGCGGGGTTGGCTCCTTGTCCGTAGACCCTCCCCACGCTGCAGCAAATCCCTCCTCTCGCCCTATCGCCTCTGTTCTTTTCCTTGTTCCCAAACGGAAAAAGAAAATGGGTTCCTTTACATGTTCATTGTTCTTCCTTTTGTTTTTTATTTAAAAGGGAAAGATAAGAAAGAGAGGAAAGAAGAAAACGAGCACCATCTTCTCTTTGCCTGATTTTGCACCTCCCTCTCCTGTCTTCATTTCTCTTCCATGATTTTCATTGCTCTTCCCATGAAAATTGTTTCCTTTTGATCTCTCCTCTCTCCTTTCTCTCTCCCTTCTCTTCTCTTGTTCTCTTTTGAATCTCAAAATCACACCAAAGGAAGCTTCTTTTCCTTATTGAATGAAAAAGAAAAAGAAGAAAAGAGATAGGTAAAGACACTGAAGAGCTCCACTGCCTATTGTTTCATTCCCTTTCCTCTCTTTCTATGTGTTGTTTTCCTTGTCGTTTCAGAAAGCTAGCAAAATAAGGGCAAGGGGGCTTCCTGAAGAGGAGAGAGGGCACCTATTTTTTAATTATAGAGGGAAAAGCGAGAGACAAGGAAGGGACAGATGATAGATAAAGAAGAGTGCTATCCGTCTCCTTGTTTATTGTGTCTTCTCTTCTTTTCAGTGCCCCTCCAGAAAATTCAAATGGCCTCCTTGTTGTCTCTCCTCTCTCGCTTCTCTTGCCCTTCTCTCCTTCTGTTACCTTTTAACTAATATAACACAAGAAAGGAACTTGTATGATAAAGCAGTGGAAGGGTAAGCAGAGAGTGACTCCTTGCGCGTGGACCTTGCCCATACTTCATCATATCCCTCTTTTCGGCCTGTCTCTTCTGCTCTTTTCCTTACCCTTCTCCTTTCAAGTTCTTCCTTTTTCGTTTTTCTGTTTCGAAAAGAAAGAGGGAAGGGAGAGAGAAGGGAGAGAGGATAGATAAAGAAGAGTGCCATTTTCTTTGCGCCTTGTTTTGTCTCTCCATCTTCTTTGTTCATCTCTCTTTTCTATTCTTTTCTTGGCTCTTCCCATTAAAATTGTCTTCCTTTTATCTCTCCTCTCTCCTTCTCTTTCCCTTCTCTTCTCCTGTTCCCCTTTAAATGACAAAAACACAAGAAAGGAAGAACAAGAGGGGAATGGAGGCCCTTTTCCTGTATTCTCCTGTTGCAATGAATACAGAAAAGAGCATAGGAGATAAGGAAGGGAATTGAGGAGCTCCTTTCGCTACTTTCTTATGCCCTTTCCTTTGTATCTACCACACAAAAACACCACTCTCAGCTTCCAAGAATACTCTCGTGGAGACGCATTGGTTAGTCTAAAAACCCGAGTCTCAGCTTCCAAATAGACCCTATTTAAGCCACCCACCCCCCCCCCCCCCTCGCTGCTTTGCTGTTTGTAATGGAGTGTTTTAAGGGCTCCAGTGCATGCCCAAGCCCGCCCCTCGCTGCCCTTGCTGCCCCGCCTCCCCCCCCCGCCCCCCCACCCCCCCCACCCTTCCCGGAGCCCTTCAAACACTCCATTACGAACAGCAAAGCAGCGAGGGGGGGGGGGGGGGGTCGGGCATGCACTAGACAGAGGGTGGGGAGGGGGGGGGGGGGTGGGGGCATAAGCCCTAACAAGGGGGGGGGAGGAGCGGGAAGGGGGGGGGAGGGGGGCGGGGGGGGGGGGGAAACAGCAAGGGCAGCGAGGGGCGGGTTGGGATGCACTGGAGCCCTTAAAACACTCCATACCATTACGAGGGGGGGGGGGGGTCGGGCATGCACTAGAGCCCTAACAAGGTGGGGGCCAAGGGGGAAGGGCGGGAAGGGTGAGGGGGGCGGGGGGCACAGCGAGGGTAAGAGGAACGCGTCAAGGGGCAGCAGGGCAAGAGGTGGTGGCACTGGGCGAGGGAGCAGACAACGATGGGTCTTCACTGACGCCGCCCCCGCTCCGGCTGGGGTCGGCGGATATATGTATACATACATACTTTCATACATTCCTACATACATACAGTACATACTTTCATACATTCATACATACATACATACCTACATACATACACATACATACATACATACATACATACATACATACATACATACATACATACATACATACATACATACATACATACATATACATATGTGGTACAAGTGAAGCCGTGACACCGGACGCCAGGTCCGCTTGGCACTGAAGGAGATCGATGAGGCGCGTGCTGCTGTCCCTCGGCCGTGGGTGGGGAATGGTGGAGAATCGTCCTCGTCCCCAACGGCCTTTAGCTGACTCTAGCTACCTGATGCCTTGCAAGCCGCGAAGACGAGTTGAAGCCCCCTGAGTCCTTTTTGTCCCTAGACACTCGTGGCTGCCAGGCCCTGGCAGAGCTACCTCAAGCCGGGCTCTTCGGGGGCAGGTGCAGCATTTGTTTGCAGTACACAATGCAACAGATCCCTAACGACTGCTGATCCGTCTTCCTCCCACAGGAGCAGCATACTAGGGCGCCGCCCGCCTCCCCGGGGGGTTAAGGAAGGAGGGAGGGAGGGAGGGAGGCAGGCAGGGAGAAAGGAAGGGCAAGAAAGAGAGGCTACCACGACAAACCTTTTTGTCGCCCCAACCCTAAACCCTAAACCTTTCAACCCAACAACCTAGGGCTCTGCAAGAACCAGCTTCTGGCCGTCAAGCTTTGTCCTCCGAACTGTGTCTCCGTTCCCTTCCACGTGGCACGGGCCACAGGACTTGACACCATTTTCTTGTTGCTGCGTCCTCTCTCCGTACCATCCTCCTTGTGGCTCCTCCCCCCCCCTCATCAATAAACCAGCCCGGATTCATGAAGGACGAGTACGGGGAATCGCAACTGGCTTTTGAGCTTGTAGGAGCCGGGGAGCGGGGAGAAGATGCAAAAGCTGGTCGCGATAGCATGTGCAACCTTGTTGTGGTAGGTTTTTCCCCTGTCACGGCTGATTTTGCACCCTCTTATTATCGCGATGGCCGCATGGCCTCAAAATGCAAGGCAACTCTACAACGACCGACCAGCAGCAGCTCCTCCTGAGCCAATCCCTGCCATGTTCTTGGGAAGCAGAAGCATCCTTCGGAGAGAGTTCGGAGAGCATCTCGACAGAAACCTGCAAAAGGTCTGTTCTGTGTGTCATCATGTCGGCCATAGCTACTGTGGCAAGCCCGCGCCCCGATCTTTCACAGCAAGGTGTGGGATGAGCGTCCCGGATTCGCTTTTCTTTACCCTTCAATCTCTTTTTAAACTGCTTGGCCTAGGGCATACTGGCAAGCGGACAGAGCCCAATGGCTCGGGGTGTCCGAGGTGGAGGCACAGTGATCCGTCGGTTCTCTTGCGTAGATGGTTCAGGTTGCATCGCCCTCCGCATAGCTGATTTCACCTGTACTCTAGCTCCGAAGCAATGAAGGGCGAAGTCAACTCTTGAAACAAGACACCGGATAGCAAGTCAAAACCCTTGAAGCCAGGTAATGCAGGAGCCATCCGACTTCGAGGAGGATGGCTGTCTCATGGACGTGCCTCTGCTTCAGCTACGCGCCAACTGCCGGTGCCAGTATCCAGATGCGATGAATTTCGTTGAAAACTAGGCCCTCGACCCTTCAACCCCCCAATCCCTAAGCCCAAAACCCTGAATCCGAAACACGTGTTTCAGGTCATCCGGGACTCCCGCCACCATTCCCCCCAGGAGAGCATCGTGGCGTGAGAGCATGTTTCCTGGATGGTTGTGCTCTGAACAACTGACATGACTTCAGGGCGCAGATCTGAGCGACATGAGCGAGGACGAGCGCGAGCAGCTTGAGGACGAGCTGCGGAATAGCATTCTACCCGCCACTGCGTGAGAACAGCGGGACCGGTTCGGTGCTTTTCTGTTTATATAGGACTGCTTGGACTCCACCGAGAAGCCGTACCCGCAGCCCAAGCGGCCTGTGCCGTTGGCGCAGGCAGTGAAAACATTGTTCCAGGTGGGCAGGCCATATTGGGGAAGCTAGACGCTGCACTTGCAGGCAGTGAGATGTGCGGAAGAGCTGTGGGAAGATGCATCTGCCTTAGCAGCTGATCTTGTTCTGACAGCAAAGGAGGTCAGCCAAGCATTGAGCTGCAGATGTCAGGCATAGAGCATGCAGAGGGCTGGGAAAGGCTCGACGATATGCAAGGAGATGTGCGAAGCCCCTCGCGTGTTTGCGATGTTCCTGTTTTCTGGCAGGTCAGCGCGGAGCGGTGCTGAGCTGGCCAAAGAGCCGCGTGAGCAGCAAAGGCACTTCGCATCAGCAGATGAGCGTTTAAACCGTGTGTGGGCTTCTCGATATTGTCTCGCCTTGTCGATCTGCTCTTTGCTTCTTAGCTTCTATTAGCACCCGAGCGACCCAGTCGTTGGGTGAGGAAGGCAGGGACACTTCCACATACCAGCCGGCATATTCGCAATCACCTGGGCTTGGGGTTCGGGGGTTTAGGGTTTCAGGGCTTAGGATTTCGGCTTTGGGGTTTGGGGGCTTTTAGCTTTGGGATTTCGGGCTTAGGCAAATAGACCATCATTTGCAGTATAGTAGTAACAGATTACAAAATGACAGAAATTGAATTTTGCAAATTCCCAGACTGCCGTTACGTTCTTAGATCTACTTGTTGATGTATCAAAATCGAAACATAATCATGGCTACAACCATATCCACTGTCATGAGAGTGATTTGACATTCTTTTCTTTAGAACTATTGAATGATCTGTTAAGCAAACAGAACGAAAACCTAATAACATGTCATTTGCTGTAAGCGATGGTAAGCGAATTCATGTAAAGCCTCCCGCCTTCAGCAAACCAGGTCGGCATTCTATGATAAATGCCAGCGAGCAACTACCAATTCCAAAGCCCTGAAACCAAAGCTGTATAACCCTAAACTCCCTGAACGGGCTTAGGGTACCGGGTCTGGACAAAGTTTTGGGTTCAGGGGTCAGGGCTTACTGTTAGCCTGAAATAAGGCGTGAAACGGTTTTAAGGGCCTTGGATTGCGTTTTCCGCGGGGTTCTTAAGCAAACACTACAAGATTAACCAGCTTAGCAACCTGGGAAATAGCAAGGTCAAACTTACTCCTGCTGAATAAGGAAGCCCAAAAAGTCTTAAAGTTCAACTACGTGTGTTTGCTAAGTAAGTAACCCTAAACCTAAAACCCAAGACCGAAAACCCAAAACCCTCTAAGCCCCAGTTAATTGCATCTTCAGCTCGGGCCACGTGCGACTGTGTGCGCTCTCTCGTCAATCTTTGCCTAGCCAACGTGGCTTACATGAGCCGCATCTTGCATTGGCCAACGAAGTACCAGACCTGGACTTGTTCACCATTCTTTAGAAGGGCCCCGTGATGCACAACGCTTTGTCGTCCTGCGCCTTGGTGACCTGCTTGGAAGTGAGCAAGAGTGTGTATTCACCAGGCAGTCACCTCCGACTCTACTTACTGTAAGGAGGCAAATAGTTGACAGAAACCTGCTACAACAAGCCGCCTGCCCTACCAGCCAGGTTGGGAATGTGCTAAGTGGCCGTGGTAGGCTTTGTTGCATGTTGCAGCTGCTCAAGCGCTTAGCTTTGCCCAGTAGATAAATGCAGATTGACTATTCTCGATTTGATCATATAGACACTTCGGACAGTGAGTCTTGGCTTCACCATTAGAGTATTTTCGTGTGGTTGCTTGTGGACTAATAATAAGAGTAATAATAGTAATAATAGTAATAATAGTAATAATAGTAATAATAGTAATAATAGTAATAATAGTAATAATAGTAATAATAGTAATAATAGTAATAATAGTAATAATAGTAATAATAGTAATAATAGTAATAATAGTAATAATAGTAATAATAGTAATAATAGTAATAATCGGAATAATAGTAATAAAGGTCATAATAGTAATAACAGTAATAATGGTAATAATAGTGGTAATAATGGTGGTAGTAATAGTGGTAGTAATAGTAATAGTAGTAGTAATAGTAATAGTAATAGTAATAGTAATAGTAATAGTAATAGTAATAGTAATAGTAATAGTAATAGTAATAGTAATAGTAATAGTAATAGTAATAGTAATAGTAAAAGTAATAGTAATAGTAATAGTGATAGTGATAGTAATAGTACTAGTAACAGTAACAGTAACAGTAACAGTAATAGCAATAGTAATAGTAATAGTAATGGTAATAGTAATAGTAATGAAAATAGTCATAATAAGAATAATGTTGTTTGAAACTGAGTGTTTGTGTAGTTTTTTTGAAGACTCACGAGGAGGCAGGCGATCCAACAGCACCGTCGCAACTTCCTCTGGCATCCGACCGTCCTCCTGGCCCACCTGCCAATGATTGTTGTCAGCAATCATCAACAACTTTCGATTTTTTTGGTTCGTGTTGCAACATGTCAGTTGTGGGCTGTTTCATCTCTGCTCAAAGGTTTTGGACGATTTGGAAGACTATTTCCATCGCCTTGACGCACGTCGATCTGAGCTAGAAGCCGGACTGAATGCCGGCTCGGACGAGGATCGCTAAAGTGCCGGGTGCGACAAATGTGCGACGTGCCTGAGCTGTCGGTGTCATGTGCTGTGGAGTGACATGTGAAACATGCGAAGGAATCTACGCCAGTCCCGTCGGTGGAGCGCTTCGATGATGCAGATTTTGCAGAACTACTCCGCAGCCGAACTGACAGCAACGCTGAGTGTGCAATTTGTCTTGCAGATTTGTCACCTGACGAGGCGCAGGGCTGGTCACTGACAATACAATGCAGTTGTGTGTAAACATTGGTGTGAAGTTTGGCCAATGGTTTCGTTCCAGCACCTGAGCAGGAGGCGCTGGAGTTACCTTGTGCTGCGCGCCACACCTTCCATGAAGAGTGCGCTCGGTCGTGGCTATCACGGAACGTGACCTGCCCACTTTGCCGGGTGGATGCCCATGGCCGAGCTTCACATTGTTCTCCACACATCGCGAGTCTTGTGCAGGGGCTTTGAGCCGTTTGAGCCTTCGGGCGCACAAGTGGCGAGGTTCGTGGGATTGTCCGACGTCGTGGTGGCCAATCGCAGGCGTGATCAAATCTTTTTTGCTTCCACAGAGCCCTGATTTTTCTATGGTTTTCTTCCAGTGTCTGTATCAAGATGTATCAAGGCATCTGGACCACCAGCCGCCAATGAGTCCCAAGATTCGCCCCGTGCCTTCGGTGCGCCTGCATGGACTTCTGGTCCGCATGTTCCAGCATGGTCTAGTTCATCTTCGTCCCAGGTTACACCAGAGATGGAGGTGTGATCTTGCGATACGATCCGAGGCACAGAGTAGTCCGTAAGTTAGTTGAGCAGTGCTCCGTCACTTGCAGTTGCATGCAAGGCCGCCGCCAGAATTGCCGCGTCCGCTGTACATACCATTCGACCTTCACCATGCCGCGGAACTGGCTTCGCATTTGCAGACAGCAGATAAGAAGGGAACCTGAATTATGTTAGGATTTCTTGTTGCTTTTTGGGATGCGATTTTTGGGTTTTGCCTCTTGGTGGTTTAGGGTTCAGGGTTGCGGGTTTAGGGTTTAGGGTTTAGGTTTAGGCCACTCTAAACCCTAAACCCTACACCCTAAACCCTAAATCCTGAACCTTAAACCCAAATAAACCCAAAACCCGAACAACAAAAACATTCCCAAAAACAACAGAAGATTCCCCAAAAAATCTGGACCCGATAAGAAGCATCAGCCAGATGAGCGGGGCGCACAAGCTGAGGTGGAAATTCAATATCCTGACAGGCTTGCTGGTCAAATCTTGGATCCACATCGTGCATAGCATGTGCGCCCTTTGTGTGTGATTGCAGGGGGACAGCCCGAGTTTGGCGGGTTCCACGGAACCAATAGAACGAGTCCACCCCGTCCTCCTGACCCTGAACATGGTGCACCGAGGCAGCCTTGTGTAGTCATGTGTAGTCTGTGTTGAGTCTCACGTTTTTTGACCTTTGAGCTTTGAGACCCGTCTAGGCATTGAGCATGAACAAGATGGTGCGGGGCAACTGTGAAATCCACTCGCTGCCACGGTTCTGGGGCACTACTGTGCCCACTCGAAGGCTTGCAGCAGGCAGCAGAATCGGCAGGAAACGCTGCAGCTGCCAGGTTCTGCTCTCATTTTGCCTGCACAATGCACGCAAAGAGGCGAACGAGGGTGAACAAGGTGTGCACAAAGCGACATGCATATGCGTGGACGAAGGGGATTCTGACTGCAGAATGCATTCAACATGAGCTCAAGTGCAGGGAGGGGAAAGCATTGTCGTGGATTTACCGAAGGCTGCATCCCTGTGAAGCCTTGTTGCTCCAACCATTAGATGGCTTATGCGATGTGGACCTGGTACCGGGCCAGGATGTGCATGATGGTGTACTTCACATTCTATCCATGTTCCAAGTGACACCTACACCCACACCAGCATATTGTTGCAAAACAAGGTACGCCTTAGACATTCTTAGGTATGTCTGATGGCTACGCTGACGATCCTGGATTAGGCCCGGCCTGACACCGACGGCGATGCAGACAGCAGGATCCCCTTTGCTCTTGGTAGGCGGATGGCGCCCGCACATGGTTCCCAACCCCAAACTAATGATGCCATACAAGCCCTGCAGACTATTGCCTTTTATCCCTGTCAGACACAGCGCGCAATCCCGAATCCTGACAACCGCTCAGCCCCAATTAGCCTGCACGCTGAAAGCCCTTTGCCTGGAACCTTAAACCCCAAGAACCTGGAGCCTGAAGCCTTGTCGAACCTGAAACAAATTAGTACCCACACTGTGACAACAACACGATTGCAGCAGGAACCCGCGCTTTCAGTTCCAGTCCCCCGCAACAAACGGCAACAAGAATGTCTGTGAAATATTAGCGCTGTGGCGAAACTACGAGTAGCAGATTTACAACTTGCCAACTGTATAAGTCGCCAGGCGAATGTGTCAGTGATAGTCGTGAAACATGACCTGACCTTGTAGTGTTTTCGACCCCTGCGGAAGCGAAAGTTGATCTGTTTTACCATGACAAGACAACGTGTTCAAATGCACGGCGCCTCGGGCGTCGTCAACATGTTTTGCTGTGGTAGGAACTCTTGCTTTTGGTGGTGAGCCTTGATGCCATCTGCAATGCTGGCCTGTCAGACGCGGCACCAAAAGATGGTAAGCCGCCAGATGAAACTGCCACTTCGATGCACATGACATGCATGACATGCCCTTCCTGAGTACTAATGGCCGGAGTCTGGCCGCTTGTGCACGAGGACAACGCAAACTATTTCTGCGAGTATGCTTACCTGTACCATCAGATGGACATGCTCGAGGAGCTCATGCTCCTGCAAAGTTGTTCTGAAAGCACAGATGTGAGACAACGCACCAGACGTGCAGGATGCCCATCGCACTGGATCGTATTTCGATGCTATCACGAGCCTTGGCTCCAGCAGTCCCACACGTCTTTTCCTCTGATGAGGCGACCGTGCAACCTAGCACCGTGTATACTGTATGACTGTATGCAGCATGCAGCATACAGACACCTTGCTGCAGTACGCCATGCTGCCACTAGCAAAGAGGGTACCCGGTAGTCCATTCTGCCTTGATTGCCGTGCATCAAGGCATAATCCTGCTAGCTTCCGGGACAAGGTAGCAGCAGCCTCAGCTGGAATTTGGAGAAGTTCGAGTCGAACGTGCTGCACCAAGCCATATACCTTGGTGTGCAAGACTGGTCTGAGGTGCTGGATGTAGGTGCTGGAACTTGCATACTGTGACTTGTCGCGAAATCTTGAGAGCATATAGCAGAAACATCCGCATCGCCTCGCTTGACTCTCCTGTAGGTCGATCTTTGCGGCAAAGGCTGGGGCCAAGCAAGTCTACGCCGTTGAGGCCGATGAGGTTGGCTCTGCATCAGCTGGTTTCCAGCCTGCGCACCCCAGGCTACAGACATGGCCCTTCGAAGTCGGAAAATTGTAGAAGCACAAGGCCGTGCTGGGAACTCGATTGTAGCGATCGGAGTCCTCTAGCGTTTTCCAGGCTTGAGCCACATCATCAAGGTTGTGCAGGGCACCATCGAGCCTCGGTCCTCCTGGTCCTCATATCCTTAGAGTTGCTGCGTGTCGCTGCGATATGCTTCGCGAAGACGCAATGCAGGCAGCTCCCATGAGTGCTTGATCAGGAGACTGTGGCCCTACCGTGCATGGTAGATGTCATCATCAGTGAAGCTCAGCTGCAGACCCGGCACGGCATAAGGCCAGTAGGGTGTCAGTGGGAGTCACTTTTCGATCAGGAATGGATGGGGTACTTTCTCTTGAGAGAAAGTATGCTGGACAGTGCCTCGATCACAACGAGTCCGTATATGCTGGGTGTGATCTGGTCTGACCTGAGTGCAAGCAATGCAAGCGCAAGCAGATGAGGTGTACTCAATGCCCGGGACCGGTTTCTGAAGCCAGGTGCGACTATGTGCAACGCATGGAGACATAGTGAGACATTGCGAGTATTCGCCCCCCCCCCCCCCCCCCACAAATTGCAATATGTAGATCCACTTCGGCCCCTCCTTTCAGTATCGGTTTCCCACATGTGAAAACAGGTGGCGCTCTGTTTCCTTCGCATGCGACGCTCTTCCTGGCACCGGTTGGTCCTTACAAAGCTTGCCGTGAGAAGCAGCAGACTTTCGATTCGGAGCGGACGTCGCCACCTCGGAGGGCGCTCTGGGTTTCGTTTTCGAACACAGTCAGCCCAGTGGCTGTTGTGTGTCAGTTTAGCTGTCTTGCTGAGGCATTTTGAGGACTTCAACGGCTCCATGCTTCAGTGGTATGGAACGGACTTCTCCTGCATGCGTGATGAGTTCCTTGCAGAGCAACGAATGCAACTTGTCATGAAGTGGGCGTGGGCTGTCTCATGCCATGTTCTCCGCCGGCAAGCGGATGCTTCGCATGTGTTGTCGAGGTACTATCTGCAGACAGGCATGTTCGTCAACCTTTCGCCAGAACCCTAAATCGTCCACGAGGATCCGCAGTACACATTGTTGGCACGCGGTGGGCACATGGTGCAGTGCAGAAGCTCCACCAGAGGCCCAGGCCCTGTGCAGTTTGAATTTTGCCTATCGTTGATGGTTGTGAAGATTAAATACACAAACATCCCGGACCCCGGAACTATACGGCTAGCACGCTGTTTCCGCTAGCATGCTGCTTGATGAGGACCAGTAGTTTTGAAGGCCTGTTTAGCTTTGTGAACGGCGGACTGCGGCGGATGTCTGCATCAAAGGCCGAAGCAATTGGCTGGAAGCGCCAGCCCTGTCCTCGAGATTGACTTGCGGAAGATTACCATCGAAGAGCTGCAGGCCCATGTTCTGCAAGGATGGTGCAGATTGCCTGAGGGCTTTCTCTGTGGTGAACACCACAAGTGGAGCGTCCAATTGCCCCAGGCAGCCAAGCCATTGACATGCACCATGAGGCGCTTTCTAAGCCTTTTTGGCTTCCTAGCACCCCATGTTCGCACTCAAGCTACTCGAGTTAGCAAAATCTTGTTGCTTGGGAAAGTGAGACAAGCTTGCCGCATGCTCAGGGTTACCAAAGATGGTCCCCTCGACGGCTTCGTCGGGTGCTTTCGCTTGTGCTGTCATAGTTTCTTGGCAGAGGAGATTTCTGCAAAAAGCACGCAGGTACTTTGATGTGGCCTTCCGTGGTTCACCAGAGAATCCGGTAAAGGAGGTCTGCGACAGCGCAATGCAGATCGCCCGGCGAGCAGTGAACGCACCTGAACGCACGTGAACGCACGTGCAGGAAGTCGTGTTGACAACGGCACCGACGACATCCACACATACGCATTGGGGTCAGCAGCCGGAGGCTTACACACATGTTCCAGCCTGTTTGCACATCGACTGGAGAATTGAAGAAGGTTAAAAACAAACTGCATGTCAGCAATGACAGGGGGGATATGGACTAGGGCCCCGGATGCTGATCACAGATGAGCAGAGTGTAGCAGACGACTCTCTGTGGTTCGACAATGCTCAGTCACTTTGCAAGAGCCATGGGTTCAAGGCTCTTTGGTTTCTTTCCTGCGCTTCAAGTCAAGCGCGGAGACCTGCTCGAGTGCAAGCTTGTGATAAACAGGCCTAGCCGAAGGGCCTGTTTCAATCTCCGTCAGCTGTCGCAAACGTTTATCATCCACCTGCAGGCAGAAGAAGAATCATCGATTGCTGAAGCTGGATGCATGCTTTTCAGTCAGTGGCCTTTCGCTGAGATGATAGCTTCGTGTAGTGGTTCTCGCACTCGATGCCTCTTTTCATCTTTGGCGCTGCTGAAACGGAGTTTGGCATTCCACGCTTAGGACACGGTGACACGCAAATCCGCGAAACGCGCGAGGCCTTGTTGTGAAATGCATCCGAAGGCTTTGTTCCCATCTCAGCACTGGTGGGAGGACTCGTGGAATCTGGACTGACCACCCCAGCACGTTATGTGATATAAACCTTATGGTGCTGGCAGGCGTGCATTCAAAAAGACTCTGTGCATCAGAGCACCACGCGACATAAGTCACCATAGCCTGTCTTCTTCATGTTTCTGCGTTCCTTGCTTCAGTGTGCTTAGCGTGCCCAGCTCGGCGAGATGTGCCATGTTGGTTCAAGACCAAGGAGCCATCGAGTGCTTCGCTCGGCCCTGAACATGAGTCCCAAGCTGTGGAGATCCAGCTGTATCGGACCAAACAATGCGCGAACTCTGTCGCTGCAAGCGCACGTGACTTTCTTGGAGCAGGGTGTGAGGATTGGGACAGAAGCTGTCATTGCGCCACTTTTGCACAGCATAGCACCCACTCGCAATGGAACTGGATGAACTCCATCCGGTGGGGCGCAACGTGTTTCATCGGCAGTCCATGGGCCGATGGCGCCGCGGGTTTCAGAGAACAGCCAGATCATTGCAGACTTCCATTTCCAAGATTAGAGCTTCATGACTTCAGGGTTGGATGTGGTTTTCGCTGCCCCATGGGTGTTTTAACCTCAAGTCCGTGTGCAGCGCCGGGTAAGCCTGGGTGTCCGGGTAGCCTGAGGTAGGTTTCCGAGACCTTATGGCGGCAAGAACTACTCTGAAATGGAAATTCCCGTTCTTGCCGTTCCACCTTTTCCGAACGCTATGCCCTCCCTTCCACCCCCCCTCCCCCCCTTACCCTCACCGCTCCCCACCGACCCTACCTAGCGCGAAAGTGGTAGCCATCCGAAGGTAAACGGACCTCGATTCAGGCTCTTGATCCCAATAGCTCGGCTTTCTGGCAATAAGACCAATCAGCAAGTGATATTGGTGGGAGGACGGGAGGACCTGCATAGAAGCCGCTACTGCTAGCAGTCACTGGCATAAACAACTGCTGCAGTGTTTCGGACATGCTGCCTCATGTTGTTTTGGATCCCCAGTGAAACTCCAGCCCACGGGCGGTTGCGAGCGCTTGGCGAGGGCAACTTCTTTCGATCGGTAGTTCAAATTTTGCAAACATCTGTGCAGTGGTCTGGGTCAGCGGGGTTTGCAAATATGCTGCAAGCTTCGGTGCGTTGCTTGGTCCTTCTGTGCCCCACACTAAAGGGTTCCCCAGCTTCAAACGCCTGTCTAAGCACATCTAAGTTGGAGCCAAAGGTGTAGGGGCCTTGCTTTGCGCAGGCCACGGCACCAGGGCAAACCCGCAAGCGAAATTCCAGGAAGCTGCTTGGTTCTAAGCCTATAAACCCTAAACCCTGAACCGCACTTTTTGTTGTTGGTTTTTGTGTTTCCAGTCGGATACCATGTAAGCCGAACCATTCGTGTTCATTCGTGCGTTTTGGGACCAGGCACTGGTTGTGGCAGCAGCTTCGCAGCCTGCGACCCACAGGCGGGTCATGCGGGTCAAAGCATCGCTTGCTAGCACTTTGCGACTTTGCGGAAGCCCGGATTGCGTGCAGGTCAGACAGTTGCCGGCCGCCTTCAAATTGCACGCCTATTGTCAGAACTGCAAGAGACCGGCCACCTGGCCTCAGCGCAGGCTGGCTGGCCCGTTCATGAGGTCATGTGGTTTGTGGGGCAAATCACGTCACTACGTACGTCACTTGCTAGGAGTACTCGGCTGCGATCCAAGCTCTTGGCAGTGCCGGCTGGTGGCAAGAAGCCTTGGCACTCTTTGAGGTGGCACGCTCTCCAGGCGGGGAGACGTCAAAACAGTCAGAACGAATGTCAAATGTGGAGCCTCTGAGCTCAGTGTAGGCACCGACAAGCGCTCAACTCCTTTGGTGGATGCCCGAATGATTCTTGGACTCCTCCTTTTGTTGAGCCGGGCCCAGCGAGAAACACGACACATACATCAAGCACACATTGCTGAACAGAGAACATACCAACCAAACACACACACACACATGATCTGAACAATGGCGTTCTTTGAACTCTGTGGTGACATGTGGGGACAGCTTGGGGTTTGAAGATGTGTGGCGGAGGTATAATGCGGCCATCGCGGCTTTGCGATCATCACCGTTTCGATGGCAACACGCTTTTTTGCTTCTTCATGCAATGTCTGACGAGAAGCTGCAGCCTGACACCGCCACGGTGAACTCAGTTGCAACGGCTCTGAAAGGTGCCAAGCGTGCACTTAGTCATAGCTGATGTTTTGGCCATCTCTTCATGCCAACACGGCTTATGTAAGGTACGCTGCGTTGGATAGTACACTTTGCAAACGTTGTGAGGAGAACTGCTTTGGCAGCAGACCCTGTCGGCATACTCAGCGGCAGCCAAGCAGGGTCTCTGCATGGACGAGGAGTGCACGCAAGCTGTCTCACCAATGCTAATCCACCTGCGGTGGCCAAGCAGGTGGGGACTAACATTTTGCTGGCAGCGATGGTGGCAGTGGACTGTCGGTGGTCAAGGCGAATCGCTCGCACCAGCACGCAACAGCGGGGTTTGAGCTGTTCAGTTGTTTCCATTTCTTCTGCCGTGCCTTGTGCCGGCAGGGGTATGGAGTCACTTCGATCTGCACGGCTCTCCAAGATAAAGCCAGATGTCTGCTCACTGGGCTGCGCAGTGGGTTCCGCGACTGCAAGCCTTAAAGCATCAGGGCAAACCCAGAACCAGTGCCGACGTGCTGGTATTAAGGCCCCGCGAACATGTCAGAACTTACTGTTAAGCTGTCATGTCATTCGCCATGGTCAGGAATTCTCAGCTCTCAGTCGCAGTGGGCCCAAAGCTGCTGGCAGTTGAGAGCTGCCAACAGTGCTGCCAAGCTGCAGAGGTCGGAGGCGTGTTTCTTGCCTGGCTTGTTGCTCTGGCCGTCGTGTGGCATAGGTGGCAGAAGCAAGATGTAGCAACATCACACTAAGGATTTGGACACAGTCGCTCTGAACTCTGCTATGAGCGGTACAGAGGAAGCTTCTCATTGGGCAGTGGGACTGTCTTTGCTGACAACGGCCACGCTTCACCAGCTTCAAGTGGCCGCATGCTTAGCAGACTGAGGTTCTCAAAAGTGTTTTTTTTTCAAGAGCTGTGGGCAGCAGAGCCAGAGTGTTCGATTTTCAGGATTCCATTACCTTCAATGTTGTCCTCAGTGCAGCAAACAAGCATGGGGCCTGGCGCCAGGGTACGCGGCTCATCAGCACAGTCCATGGGTGTCCATGGGTGTCCATGGGAGTCCATGGGAGCCCGTGGAGGTTATGCTGTGGTTCGAGTTTAAGTGCAGCCGTGGATGGATGTTGGCTCTCTCATATCTGAGGCAGTGCCTGGAGTGGCTGCGGCAGCACCTCAGCCCAACTGCGGCTCTTTTTAAATTCTTTCACGAGTCGTGGCTGGGATCTTGATGCTGCATAATCCGGCTGTGATTCTTTGGCAGGGAGCAGGAGTTTGTTTGAGTCTGCTGGCCTGCTCCCCTCGTCTCTTTGTTTCTCGATGCCACTCGATGCCATGGTTGACAATTTGACCTCTGTGAGCATCCAGCTTGTGCAGGGTCAGGAAGCTTGCACCGCTCGCTCGAACATCGCATGGCCGTTGTTGATTTTATGTTCTTGACACTATCCGCAAAACGGATAAGAGTGCCTCATGCCTGTGACAGAGGACGGGTGAGCCCACCCTTGTCTCGTACAACTCCTTGCTGAATGCGACTTGACAAGAAATCTTTCATGGTCCTTCGCAGCCTTCTTGTGCTAACGTTTCAGTTCTCGTGTCCACGCCCATGGCTTGACTTCAGGCAGATGAGCCAGATGGAGATGGAAGGCGATGGGAGGCTGCCGTGCAGCCTGAGCCTTATCAGTGCGAGGCCTTTGCCGTGACAACGATTCTACAGTGCACCGGCTAAGGATCTTGGAGGACATGATGGACAGTCCGACACCTGTCAAGTCTGGAAGTGGCGGTCCAGCGGTTCTTCTTTGCATGCTCGAGGTCCCCGGGTGTGCCCGGATCCTGTGACCGCTTGCTCCGTCGGAAACATTCTGCAGGTTGGCTCGGGCGCTCAAATTCAAAGGTTGCTTCGCTCCATTGTCCACATTCTGTACAGGCCTTTGCGCAGTGGGAGCAGGCTCTTGTTCTTGTGAAGTCCAGCGCGCATGAAGGCACCGTGGTGGCAGACAGCAGCGCAAGCAAGATAAAGCAAGCGTCGCTTGATGCACTCAGCCTGCCTGAAGTTTTGAAGGCCCCAGCGCAGCACCGCTCGCAGCTTCAAGGAGCAAGAGCATGCGAGCTTCACGCAGCGTCAAACAGCGAAGTTTCTCAGAGCTAGATCGCCAAATTCTATGTAGTTAAAGCCTCAGTTTCGAGCAATTTGTCCGACAGAGCTGTTTTGCTCTTGCTGTTGGAGCTGTTTTTCGCGGCAGTGCGCCGGCGCTGGGAACCGCGCTGGGTGCCGCAGAGCGAGCTGGGTGCGCTTGGGTTGCGATCGAATCTAGGGGGGCTTTACCATTCTTTCCCCACCTCAACTTGCCCTCTCGTGGACGGGCAGGTGCTGGGAGCGCGCCCTGGATTTGATTTGGTGGGCACAGGCCAGGGACGATCTGAATTGTACGTCAAAAGCCGTGGCATGCCGCGGATGAGGCAAGAGCAGCAGTGAGTGACATCATTTCCTGCGGGAGTGGAGCCTGCACAGCTGTCCGGATTCCAGAATTGGTGTCGTCTTTGCGAATCGTTCCTTGAGACGTGGGACCCCTTCACGTTGTGTAAGGTCATGGGTGCTCTTTCGAAAGGCAAAGAATGGCGGCGTTCCTTAGGTCAGAAGATTCAGAAGCGGAAGTCGTCCGAGAAGGGTGGGGCCTTGGCATGATGCCAGGACTGACACAAGGGCTGCATCAGCAGCAAAGACACAATCTCATTGCTGCTTTGCTGCACGTTTTCTGACAGATGGCATCATCCTGTACCGCAGTTTCCCAGGCTGTCAATGCAGCCATAACATCCTTTTCACGAGGCGCGCCCTGCTTGTCTGGAGATTCTGGAGTCTTCCAGTTGCATACTCCAGTTCCATGTATGTCAACAGTGTCAATGCAGTGCCGACTTGAGGAAGCCGTTGGCGGACGGCTCTTGCGATCGTGGAAAGCATGGATTGGTCCCAGCTGCGGGTCCCGTTTCAGTCCATTTCAGTCCGCTTCATGTCGTGTTGTTTCCAAAGCTGTGCCCAGTTCAGAGCTGGTAGGCGGATGTCTTTACCTGCACGTCAGCCATCAGCTCCTGCGAGAAGGCCTGTGTGTGCCGGTGTAACATGCCCACTCATATTTCTTAAGCCTTGCTTTCCATGTGTGTCGCGGATGGAGCATGCTGGATGAGGGGTCCCGCATGAAGCCTTGCCAAACTGATGAGTGTAGGGCACTGCATGACGTCCCTGCGGCTCAGCTGATGCGATTTGAATGCGGGAATTCATGTAGCGTTCGGTCCACCGGCGGGCTTGCTCTCAGCGCTGCAAGCTAAAGAATTAGAGCCCGACCATGTCTGCTGTGGACCTGCGCCACCTGTTCAAGTTGGGAGAGGGCGTGACCCAAGAACAGGCCGGCGAATGCATTTTTCAGATGAGTGGTTGTGTGGACCATAAGCATGATGGTCACATGGCGGCTTTGCTTTTGAGGTGCAGCAGAACCTTGCCGGTGCAATATCTGAGTGGAGATCGAATCCCAAGCTGGCCACAAAGCTGCTGGGTCGATTGATTCGGCCCGGCCATGCGCACTTGGCGGACAAGATTTTGCGTGTGATGTGGCACTCGCAATTAGAGGCGCGTCTGCCGCGGCAGCGTGCATCTCAAGACCTTCAAATCCTCTGCTAACAGGTCAACGTCTTCCACTATGGCGCTGCAATTGCGGCTTGTGAGACGAGGGGCCAGTGGCAAAGAGCCTTGCACCACTTGCATGTCATGCGGCAGACTCTTGGTCGATTTCACACAGTCGATTGAAGGTTTGTTGAGGCAAGTGCAATTGAAAGGTTTGAATGCATTTGATATGTGAAAGGAAGCAAACTTTGCCGGACCTGATTTCCTACAATGCCGCGCTCTCCACGTGCTCGAAGGGTCAGCAATGGCAGCTGGCGCTTTCTCTGCTTGGCAGAATGGCCATGGAGAAAGTCGAATCGGACGCGGTCAGCTTCAACTCTGCACTTTCGTCATGTTGTGAGGGATTGCAGTGGCAACGCGTTTTCGCGATTCTCCAAGACTTGCCTAGCATCCATCTACGCCCAGACTGCATTGCGTGCCTTCCTCAGTTGCCTCTGCCAGACAGGTCAGGGCCAGCGCTTGACCAGTGCAGACCAGTGCTTTACCAAAAGTTGCACGGCGGATTTGCATCTTGCTGAGGGTCAATGTGGCCATCACGACATGCGCACGTCTGGGACGCTGGCAACTTGCCTTTCAGCTGCTGGATGGAATGTATGTCAACGACATTCAGCCCAGCGTATTCAGCTTCGGCACTGTCGTCGATGGATGTGGCTGCCATCCCAGCCTTTGGCATCGCGCAGTAGCAGTGCTAAACGACTTGCCGAAGGAGACCATGGACCAAGATACTAAGTTGCTAAGCTGTGCCGCTGTGCCTCTGTTGCGTACATCCCACTACTAACTCATGCGACCCTGCGAGGCACAGTTGAAGCCAAATGCAACCATTTGTGGTGCAGCGATCAGTGTCTTCCACAAGTCGGAAACATGGCAGCAGGCACTCTGGCTCTTGGCCAACATGAAGAGTTGGAGTCTATCACTGGACAAAACCACATGCAGCGCAGCTGTGAGTGCGTGTGGAGCGACGGGCAAGTGGCAGTTGGCATTGCAACTCCTTGATGAGATGGCTCTCCAACGCATATCAGCAGACGAGGTCACATACAGTTCGGTCATAAGCGCCTGTGGGGTGGGGAGAGAATCCGCAAAGTCCGTCCAGCTGATCGAGGCTATGCCCATCATGTCAGTGAGGCCAAACGAGATTTGTTACACCGCAGCTCAGCAAAGACAGTGGATTTTGGAAAGTCTTCATTCCTACTACGACTACTAGTAACTAGTAGGTACCTACTAACTACTGGTACTAACTACTACTGCTACTACTGCTCCTACTGCTGCTAGTGCTACTACTGTTACTACTGCTACTACTGCTACTACTGCTACGACTGCTACGACTGCTCCTACTACTGCTACAACAACAACAACTACTACTACTACTACTACTACTACTACTACTACTACTACTACTACTACTACTACTACTACTACTACTACTACTACTACTACTACTACTACTACTACCTACTACCTACTACCTACTACCTACTACCTACTACCTACTACCTACTACCTGCTACCTGCTACCTACTACCTACTACCTACTACCCACTACCCACTACCCACTACCCACTACCCACAACCTACTACCGACAACCTACAACCTACAACCTACAACCTACTACCTACTACCTACTACCTACTACCTACTACCTACTACCTACTACCTACTTACTACCTACTACCTACTACCTACTGCCTACTGCCTACTACCTACTACCTACTACCTACTTCCTACTACTACCTACTTCCTACCTACTTCCTACTTCCTATTTCCTACTTCCTACTACTGCCACTGCTACCCCTGGTGCTACTGCTACTGCTCCTGCTATTCCTGCTACTGCTACTACTACGACGACGACGACGTCTAGTACGACTACTATTACGACTACCACTACTACCACTACTACGACTACGACTACGACGACGACGACGACGACGACGACGACGACGACGACGACGACGACGACTACTACTACTACTACTACTACTACTACTACTACTACTTCTGCTGCTACTACTACTGCTGCTACTACTACTACTACTACTACTACTACTACTGCTACTGCTACTACTGCTACTGCTACTACTACTACTACTACTACTACTACTACTACTACTACTACTACTACTACTACTACTACTACTACTACTACTACTACTACGACTACGAGGACTAGTACTAGTACTCGTACTAGTACTAGTACTGCCACGATTAACATCATAGATATAGCTATTGCTCTTGCTATGGTGAGCTCTTGTTTTTCTTCGGTAAATCCACATGCCGATTACCTCGACATGTGCGGCGTTTCGTGTGGTCAGGTACGAAACCATCGGTGACAACAGTGTTTTCGACACCTGCGATCTTCAGGAGATGTAATTCCTGTAAAAACACCGGAATTTACAGCATTTCCTCTAGTTGACATACGCAAACCTCGTTATTTGCGGTTCCTTCTGCTGCATCTTGACCGCAGCGTGCACCAGAGAATGCATGTCTGCTCTTGCGGGGGAGGTTGGGTAGGTGGGGCGGGTTAAGAACATTCGTTCTGCGTTTCAGCATTGTTCTCTTCCTTAGTATGTCATGTTATCTTTTGATGCCGTTTTCGCAGATGAGACTTGAGGCAGCGGCCTTGGGATGCAAGTCGACGGGTGACTGGCAAACGGTTCTCGAGTTGACCAAGGGAATGTCACAGCACTTGTTGTCGCCGAGTGAGATCGTGTATGAAGCTGCCATGAACATGGTGGACGAAGCTGGCATTGCAGACATCTCGCCAGTGCTTTTGGCCTTGCTCACCAGACGGGCGCAGCAGAGTTTGGGCAGTTCATTCCGCAAAAATGCAGGTTGATCTAGTGTGCCGCTGAGAGATAGATCATGTTGGCCGTGTGTTGAAATTCGCACGCTTCAGCGGAATGCGCAGGCCGTTTGGGTTCCCGCACTGCAGTTGCTGCAGCGTGGCCCCAAGACGATCAACTGCCATCAAGCCTCCTGTAGAAGACAATGTTCGTTTTGCTTTGTTTGTTGGCAGGCGGATGCAAAGGTGTGTCGGCATGGAGAGTGCATGGCCGGCAGTGAATGCGGCCGCTCGGCCGTTGTGGAGCCTCGTTGTATGTTCCCCGCTGTGCGAACGCCTTCTTCGCTTTATCATTTTAGCTTTCACGCAACGGCACATTGCTTGAAAGGCAGTGAGTGCGTGTGGCAGCAGCAGGCCTTTGGGTTCTTTTGGTGTGTGGAGTGGAGGGTTGCAGTTGTTCCGTGTTGCTATGAGTTTCTGCAGATACCGTGCCAGAGGACCAAGAGAACGTCGTAAATCCAAAGTCGCAATCGAAGTCACTCAGTCAGGAGCTGGCGGTGGCCTCTGGAACTCATCTTCGGCACGGGAACCGCGGCAGGTGGGATCCGTTGATTCCTTCGATGCTGCACTCTACGAATCTTCGGTTTAAAAGACGATAAAGGTTCCGGGAGTGCCCAACGCGCCATAGTGGTATGTACGTAGGACCTTTAGGGTCTATTTGGCGCTGCGCTTGGCCTCGACCTCAAGGACTTCTGGGATTTTATGTTTTAAGGATATTATGCATTTTAAAATAGAAGAAAATCCTTAAGATCCGTAAAAAATAAAATCCGAGGCGCCGAATTTGGTTTTAGGAGAAGCCCCAAACGATTTAAATTTTTAAAAATCCTTAAAATCCATAAAAAATAAAATCAAAATAATTTATTTTTTAAGGATTTTAAGGATTTTATTCGATTTTAAAATGCATAAAATCCTTAAAAAATAAATTCGGCCTCTGATATTATTTTTTAAGGATTTTATGCATTTTAAAATAGAAGAAAATCCTTAAAATCCTTAAAGAATAAAATCCGAGGCCGAATTTGGTTTTAGGAGAAGCCCCAAACGATTTAAATTTTTAAAAATCCTTAAAATCCATAAAAAATAAAATCAAAATAATATATTTTTTAAGGATTTTAAGGATTTTATTCGATTTTAAAATGCATAAAATCCTTAAAAAATAAATTCGGCCTCTGATTTTATTTTTTTAAGGATCTTATGCATTTTAAAATAGAAGAAAATCCTTAAAATCCTTAAAAAATAAAATCCGAGGCCGAATTTGGTTTTAGGAGAAGCCCCAAACGATTTAAATTTTTAAAAATCCTTAAAATCCATAAAAAATAAAATCAAAATAATTTATTTTTAAGGATTTTAAGGATTTTATTCGATTTTAAAATGCATAAAATCCTTAAAAAATAAATTCGGCCTCTGATTTTATTTTTTTAAGGATTTTATGCATTTTAAAATAGAAGAAAATCCTTAAAATTCTTAAAACATAAAATCCGAGGCCGAATTTGGTTTTAGGAGAAGCCCCAAACGATTTAAATTTTTAAAAATCCTTAAAATCCATAAAAAATAAAATCAAAATATTTATTTTTTAAGGATTTTAAGGATTTTATTCGATTTTAAAATGCATAAAATCCTTAAAAAAATAAATTCGGCCTCTGATTTTATTTTTTAAGGATTTTATGCATTTTAAAATAAAAAAAAATCCTTAAAATCCTTAAAAAATAAAATCCGAGGCCGAATTTGGTTTTAGGAGAAGCCCCAAACGATTTAAATTTTTAAAAATCCTTAAAATCCATAGAAAATAAAATCAAAATAATTTATTTTTTAAGGATTTTCAGGATTTTATTCGATTTTAAAATGCATAAAATCCTTAAAAAATAAATTCGGCCTCTGATTTTATTTTTTAAGGATTTTATGCATTTTAAAATAGAAGAAAATCCTTAAAATCCGTAAAAAACAAAATCTGAGGCGCCGAATTTGGTTTTAGGAGAAGCCCCAAACGATTTAAATTTTTAAAAATCCTTAAAATCCTTAAAAAATAAAATCAGAGGCCGAATTTATTTTTTAAGGATTTTATGCATTTTAAAATCGAATAAAATCCTTAAAATCCTTAAAAAATAAATTATTTTGATTTTATTTTTTATGGATTTTAAGGATTTTTAAAAAATTTAAATCGTTTGGGGCTTCTCCTAAAACCAAATTCGGCCTCGGATTTTATTTTTTAAGGATTTTAAGGATTTTCTTCTATTTTAAAATGCATAAAATCCTTAAAAAATAAAATCAGAGGCCGAATTTATTTTTTAAGGATTTTATGCATTTTAAAATCGAATAAAATCCTTAAAATCCTTAAAAAATAAATTATTTTGATTTTATTTTTTATGGATTTTAAGGATTTTTAAAAATTTAAATCGTTTGGGGCTTCTCCTAAAACCAAATTCGGCCTCGGATTTTATTTTTTAAGGATTTTAAGGATTTTCTTCTATTTTAAAATGCATAAAATCCTTAAAAAATAAAAATCAGAGGCCGAATTTATTTTTTAAGGATTTTATGCATTTTAAAATCGAATAAAATCCTTAAAATCCTTAAAAAATAAATTATTTTGATTTTATTTTTTATGGATTTTAAGGATTTTTAAAAATTTAAATCGTTTGGGGCTTCTCCTAAAACCAAATTCGGCCTCGGATTTTATTTTTTAAGGATTTTAAGGATTTTCTTCTATTTTAAAATGCATAAAATCCTTAAAAAATAAAATCAGAGGCCGAATTTATTTTTTAAGGATTTTATGCATTTTAAAATCGAATAAAATCCTTAAAATCCTTAAAAAATAAATTATTTTGATTTTATTTTTTATGGATTTTAAGGATTTTTAAAAATTTAAATCGTTTGGGGCTTCTCCTAAAACCAAATTCGGCCTCGGATTTTATTTTTTAAGGATTTTAAGGATTTTCTTCTATTTTAAAATGCATAAAATCCTTAAAAAATAAAATCAGAGGCCGAATTTATTTTTTAAGGATTTTATGCATTTTAAAATCGAATAAAATCCTTAAAATCCTTAAAAAATAAATTATTTTGATTTTATTTTTTATGGATTTTAAGGATTTTTAAAAATTTAAATCGTTTGGGGCTTCTCCTAAAACCAAATTCGGCCTCGGATTTTATTTTTTAAGGATTTTAAGGATTTTCTTCTATTTTAAAATGCATAAAATCCTTAAAAAATAAAATCAGAGGCCGAATTTATTTTTTAAGGATTTTATGCATTTTAAAATCGAATAAAATCCTTAAAATCCTTAAAAAATAAATTATTTTGATTTTATTTTTTATGGATTTTAAGGATTTTTAAAAATTTAAATCGTTTGGGGCTTCTCCTAAAACCAAATTCGGCGCCTCGGATTTTGTTTTTTACGGGTTTTAAGGATTTTCTTCTATTTTAAATCAAGCTCCTAGGCGCCTAAGCGCCTACTTCTTCAACCCTTAAAACCTTAAACCAGTTCCTAAGTCCTAAGCTACCCCCTGCACTAGTAGATCCTTAAACCCTAAGCTCCAAAGCTCCTAAGCTCCTCGGCGCCTACCCCCTAAACCCCTAAACCCCTAAACCCTTAAACCCTAAACCCTAAGCTCCTGAGGTCCTAAGCACCTAAGTGCCTACCCCCTAAATCCTTAAACCCTCCTAAGCTCCTAAGCTCCTAAGCGCCTAAGCGCCTACCCTTAAACCTTAAATCAAACCCTATACTCCTAGGCTCCGAAATCCTTAAACCTAAACCCTAAACCCTAAACCCTAAGCTCCTAAGCTCCTAAGAGCCTCAGCGCCTACCCCCTAACCCTGAGACCCCGGGACCCCTTTTTAAATTTGAAAAATCCTTGCCTTCTTCTACGCTGAAATTTTCTAGGTTTTAAGGATGTTAAGAGATTTTAATATTTAAAAGGAGCTTTCGTTTTTGAGGTTGAGGGCACGCTAGGGCTGACAAAAACCCTATGCTAGGGTTTACAAAAAATTAAAACCCTTTCGCTTGAACGTGTTTACAAACACACCTTCGTTTTCGAGGATGGGGGCACACCCAGGCTTACAAAAATCCCGTCGTTTTTGAAGTTTAGGACACACTAGGGTTTACGCAAAAATGCAGGCGCACCAGGTTGATAAACAAACCTTTCGTTTTTTGATGTTGAGGACATATCAAGGTTCAAATCGAACCTTTTCGTTAAAGCAATGATGGTGCTTTAAGGTTTTGCAAAACAACAACGTTCCTTAACGTTGTTGCAGTCTTACTTTTTCAATGCTTCAAGATCTTTACCAGGCTACAAGAAGTGCATTTTTGTAAACAAATCGTATGATTGAGGTCTCTGGTCTCCACCCTACAGTTTAATATTTTGCGGTAACCATAACTAAAACTGTTTGCATCGTTCAGTTACAGTGATTGCGCCCAATGTGATATCTTGAGCCTCCCAAATATTATGAAAAAATGAAGACCTGAATTCAAAATACTATAAAAAATGAAGACCTGAATTCAATTATTCAAAATGTTCAAATTATGGGCTCTCTAAAAGACTTAACACCCTTTAAATAGCTCAGTGTGGTTCTTTTATTCATCGTATCTCTCTCCATCTTTTTCTCTTTCGCTCTCGCTTTCTCTCTGTCTCTCCCTCTCTCGCTCTCTCTCTCTCTCTCTCTCTCGCTCCCTCTCTCTTCTCTTTGTCTCTGTCTCTCTCTGTCTCTCTCCTTCTCTGCCTCCTTCCCTCCTTCCTGCCATCATTCCTTTCTCTTCCCCTCTTCCTTCTTCTTGTTCTTTCCTCTTTCCTCCTCGCCCCTCCCGTTTTTTACTTGCCATTCAACATCCTTCAAGAAGTGTCCCCTTTTGCCCTTTCGCAGTCTTCTCTCAAACCCCTGGGAGGCCCTTTCAGGGAGCCCCTTCAAGGAACCCGAAAACGGCGGGGCCCTGGTGGATATTGAAAGAAGCAGATTCGCAGAAGGAGGGAAGGAGAACGACAGACACGGAGCAAGAGATAGAGAAACAGAAAAAGGAGAGAGAAGCAACTGTCCTCTCCAAGCTGTTTTCAGAGTGGCCCCAAAGACTGGGGTGGGCGTGAGTTCGCCCCTTGCCACTCGAAAGCCTCCCTTTCTTGAAAGAAACAAGAGGCAGGAACCCCTTCTGTCAAAGAATCCGTGTCAGAAGACAAAAGGATACTGCGATAGCCCCTCATTCGTATTTTAATTCCTCCCAAATGCTTTCGGCTCTTTTGCTTGATAGATGAGTGGGTCCGTCCGCTCCGATTGAAATGAGAGAGTTTATTTTCTTAGAATGAACCGTTCCGTGTATTCTTAATCAGAGGTAGCCCTGCCTATGTTGAATACAGATGAGGGCGTTGTCCTGAAAGGCCCTCCTGTTCTAAGGAACACCGTGAACGATAGAACCCTTCATTTGAAAAGGAATCAACGAGTCCATCCAGTATTTCAATAAATGACAGGATTTCGTTGTTCTTCGGAATGCTATTGTCTTTAAGAAGCTTTCTTTCTCCTTCCTTTCGTTTTCGCTCTTCGTGCGCCCGCTTTCTGCACTCTCC